CCACCAGGACCCCCTGGTCCTTCTCCATAGTGCTACTCTCCAGTAGGTCAGTGCCCAGCCTGTACTGGTGCTTGGGGTTATTCCTCCCCAGGTGCAGGACCTGCACTCGCCCTTGTTGAATTTCAGGTGGTTCTCTGCTCATCTCTCCAGCCTGTTGAGTCCCCTCTGAAGAGCTGCACAGTCCTCTAAGTTACCAGCCACTCCTCCCAGTTTTGTATCATCAGCAAACTTGCTGAGAAGGCAACTCTGTGCCCTTGTCCAAGTCATTGATGAATAAGTTAAACAATACTGGGCCCAGTGTAGAACCCTGGGGGACACCACTAGTGACAGCCTCCAACTAGTCTCTGTGCCACTGATCACAAGTCTTTGGGATCTGCCACTCAGCCAGTTCTCAATCCATCCCTCAATCCAATCTGCTAGGATTTGGTTACGAGATGGGCAGATCTATGTCCAGCCATCCACTTTCATAGTGCTACAGGGCATGACACTGGTACACTGTGAGATGTTTGTGACATCACCTTCTCAATCTACAAAGATGGTGAGATCATCATACTCAATCTAAAGAAATGATATAAAATCTAAAAAAGATCAGATTAAAGAGACCATGAGATCATGGAGGAGTCACTGGACAACAGGCCATTCCTCTAGATTTTTCCAAATGGCTTCTGTTCTTGTTTAGGAGATATTGTTTATATTACTGTTAATACACACAGAGTCTTTGAATAGTTTAATGATATTTCAGACTTTTTTCCTCAAATACATTCTGTTTTTTCAAATTTTAATAGACCCATTTTTGACCTTGAAAGAAATGTAAAATGAAAACACTTATTGAGACAAAAAAGTTATTATTAAATGTAGAAAAAGATTAAAGCTGCAATTTTGTAAGGCCTTCTATTTGATATGTATTTGGAATAATGATTATTAATGTTTCTAATATTCTTACTGACAATATTCCACAAGTATTGAAGAATGGGAATTCTGCTTTCATTCACATAAATGCAATTTCAGAGAAGCTTTTGGCTTTGCTCCTGAATAGAAGAGCATGTTCCATTTTAAAACTCTATTGAATGCATCCCTTTGGTTGCACATCTTTCCAGTACTCCCAGTTGCCCAGTTAAACCTTAATCATCAGCTCAATCATTATTTACATCAGTGCCAGCTGGGTTCAAATACAGCTCAGCTGGGATGACAGTATTTCAGACTCACCTGGCACTGTCATAAATTGACACAAGGTAAAACACAGACCTGTGTCCTTCCTCCAGACATTGTGTTAAGCTAGGGTAAGAACACCTCTTTTCCTTTTAATTCTACAGATCCATGCTGAGATATATCAACAGATGGTCAACACAGCTGGCCACCATGTCCTGCTTAAAAACTGGAATGGGTTACCTGGGATCTGACTCTCCAATGGTATTTCCAAATTGCTGCTGTAGAGCACAGGAGACAGATCTCATAAAACACTGTGTCTACCTGTACACCTGTGTACAAACAGTAACACATGTTACTATCCAGTGCCAATCCTTTCCCAGAGGTTTAGGTCCAGTACCTGAAGAAGGCTGTGAGAGGCTGTAGTGGTGTGAAGAATCAAGTGAACTCCTTTCAATGACATCCCCATCACAGGCCTCCCTCAACTCATCTTCACAGCTGTGAGTCAGGATGGACTCTGTAGTCTCTTCCTCACGACTAAGAGTTACCTTCAGTGCTTGGCAGGCTTGTTCTTGCTGACCTGTTTGCAGGCACCTGGACAACATCAAGTATCACATCTTTAGTGAGTCTTTGAGTTGTGTTTATGCAGCCAGTCAAGGGCAGCTTGGCATGGCCACACGGGCAAACTCCCAGGCAGGGGATTTAGTCACCCACTGTGACTTCGCACTTTCCTCGAGATATGGAAAATCATTCTAATTGGATCAGCTGTCTGTTTATCTGATTATCTTGATTATCTGAAAATGTCCTAAACTTAATCAGGTGAAGTGGGGCAGATTTAAAATACTGCACAGTGGAGTGAGCTCAGAGAAAAAAAACCCTTTAACTTCCAAATTAACCATTACCTGTGTATGAGATGTGGGAATCTCTACATGGTGCTATTTGTCTTTCACCCTTTCGTTTGGTTAGGCCAATGTGCTGCTTGCAGAAAACTCCATCCACTTTCACCTCTAACTGTCAGGGCCAAGAATGGCTTACCAGCTATGAAAAGTAATGCCCTCGCTAGGGAAGTGAGCCCACCTACACTGCCCTTGAGCCTGCTCTAGAGAGAGGGCACAGGGTCCTTGCCCACCCCGCAGATGCTCCAGGTGGGAGGACCTATGGAAGGGTTGCCACCCTGTCCCAAAGCAGGGACAGGAAGACAGGAGGCCAAGACTATCCCCTGGAACAGCCACCAGGTGGCCAAAAAGCTTATTTTACTTTTCAGCCGTGAACGAATGCCTGGGTTAGCGCACGGCAGGGTTTCCCCCGCGGTCTCACCCCTTGTGCTGCTCTCTCCATCCTTTCAGTTCAGAGAACACGTTTTCCTGGTGCAGATCTCTTCCTCCTCCAAAGCCGTAAGGGTTTTCTATCCTCACATCGCACAGTTTCAAAGGGTTCACTGTAGGTGGCTGCAAAAAGGGCACAAGTTATCTTGCTAACCTTGGGAACTCTCCTCAGCTCTGTTTCCAGATGCGGATTTTAGAAGGCATCAAAATTCACTGTTACTCCTGAGTTTTTGCATCACCCCTCACCATTTTCTTACTCTTTTGTAAGTTTGAAGAAATCTCACACTCCAGTAGTGTGTTGTTCCATCCTGAGGAATCCAGGGTGGCAGTCACAAAAATGCTGATTTTTATTCACAGGCATATAAGCCTGTAGCATCTATATCAATAAGGTTATTAAGACCAGTACCACAGAAACTGCATCATTCAGTATATAACCACACTCCCATTTCCCATCCCAGTTTATAACACACAGTAACTCATTCAAATGTTCAAATTTGTTTCAGAAAAGCTTCCAGCACTCGGGCAGTGGCAGCAGAAAGACAAGGGTGGGACATATTTTTTCCTGCAGTTCTTTAACAACTGTTGTCAGCATTAAGTCGTGCTGCTGACAGTGCAGTGATGCAGGTGTCCTGGGCATGTCATTTCCCTGAGTTAGCACAGCCTGTTTAAACCTATGCATTTGCATCTGTGCTGTGATGAGCCTCAAGGCCCACAAAAGCTAACAACGATGAGCCAGGCTGCACCCCTTTACAGACAGGGGAATCCTCTCACTGAGGTACTGCTGAAAGGAGCAGGCTGACCTGCAGGGCTGGGGTAGCACCCCACTGCCAAGAGGTACAAACTTTGGCTTTGTGTTTGTTTAGTCAATAGGAATGACCTTGCAACATTAGCGATCCGCCTATTTACGCCAACATCAAAGACACAGCGCTGCAAAAAGTCTTTTGCTAAATAGCTATTGTAGAAACACCATCAAATTTTGCAATCCTGCCTTGCACTTTGCTCAGCCAGGATGATAGGAAATCTGCCACCAGCAGATGATATGTGATTTTCACGTGTCCCTTGACAGGTGATGGTTAACTGCTGCTAGCACATGGGCACATGCAACATCCCGGCAAGAGACCCTCTGTCCTCCTCAAGGCAGCTGGAAGGGTTTGGGGCTACGCTGCCACAAGCCACAGTGGGAGTTCAGTTTATCCCATGATTTACGGGGATCACCAGGCAGGAATATGAAGTATACAAGAAAAACATACACCTAGCTTTTGCCTCCTCTCTTGAAGGGCCTTGGTTGGGTTCCCACATATGACTTGTCTGAGCCCTAATGAAAACAGAAGACAAGAAAACATTTTACTCCAGCATTTAACAAATGGTGCCATCTTTGAAAGCAGTCAACATAATTTCCCACAGACAGGAAAATGTAATATTTCATGGTGTAGGTTCACAGTACCAGCTGGCATGGCCTGACACTGCTGCTAAGAGGCAGTTTCTGTTTCCACCAGAATCTGTCTTCTTCTGCTCCTGCCCTGCCTCCTCTGCTGTGCTGGTGTGTGGACACATGGTGAATCAGATCAAGGAACAGACTCAGATTAAAACAAAATACAATTTTGGGGCATCTTTTTTTGCTTGTTCTGCTAGCTTATTTTTTTCAGCTGGATCTCAATCAGAATCAGGTTAACATGAGACAAGGCAGCTAAGGGTCAGGAAGCAGCAGTGAACATTGGGTGAAACTGTCTCTAGCAGTAGTACTAGGTTTCCATGTACTTTTTAGCTGTTGACTCTGCATTGCTTCATCTAATTCATCATCCTGAGTCCTACCTATAGCAAGGAACTGGAAAGGGACTGATGTCTGAGAGAAGCAGCCCACAATGCCTGGAAACAGACACCATCTTCCTATCTAATCTGCACTCTATGGGCTGGTGGAGTTGCACTGTCAAGGTGTTCCCAGGAGCCAGGGAAGGATGGTTTGGGAAGTGCCAAATATTGTCTCCAAGAGCTGCTAACTTGATAGCACTTCAGGTGACCAGAGCAGAAAGGCAGTGGTACACCTGTATTTTGGGCTAGCCTGTAGACTGAGCACGTGGAGTCAAGGAACTGACTCCTCTTGCTGAGGAACCAACCCCTGGAAACCCAAAAGAAAGTGCTCATTGACTGCAGCGATGCTGCTGCAGCACGAGACTGCAGTAGACACAGTCTGAGCACATGATCCAATGGGGAGTGAATGTGCATCACCACACCTTTCTAGAGGACTACCTTGGACCACATTCCTATGACTGAACAAGATGTACCCAGATATTACTCAAGTGAGCCCCAGCTGGCCTAATGTGCAGTTTAAAGGGCTGAGTAAGACAACTTTCAATGAGGTATGAAAGGCCAACGTCAGCAAGGGAGCCCCACTGCAGTATGGGGCTGTCAAGAGGGACAGCAGCACATAATGCATGGGGGTGAGGGCTGAGAAGGGAGAAGCCCAGGTGAGTTGCACCTTCTGCTGCAGGGGGAAATAAAGGAAAGCCTATGCTAGAGCAGGTGAGTCTCCTGGAAGAAAACATATGCTGAACCTGATGTAGCTAGCACATGGGTGGGCGGTATTCAAAGCATCCAGGCTTTCATCAGTAATAATAACATTAAGAAGGAGGTGGAGGTGTGGGAAAGAACAGGATTAAAAAACATACATTACCATGTGTCAGATCACTGGAGTCATCTTCTGTGAACAGCTTATCAGGAACAGCGGGATCTGGAAGAGGACAGCTACCGTACAAGAGGTGGGCGTCGCTAGATCTCGCTGCATTAGCAGAACACTCTGCAGTTCCAGGCCTGGAATTTGTTGAGGATCTTGGGCCACAGCCAGAGTGCCTTGCTACTGCCCCAAGATATGGATCTAAGAGAGAGATTTCAGTAGTGTAAGCACAGTTGTGCAGGGCTTCAAACCACACCATCACTCTACACTGCCCATACAGTGTCTGCTGCTGCACACCTGGAGCTATATGGGACAGAAAAAGATGTAATTGCAGCTGCAAGAAACATGCTGGAATAGGTCAAGCCTGGAGAGGCTTCCTATGCTGCACACAGCCTACTGTAGCTGTCCCTTGCAGATGGCAGAACCTGAGGACCTCCAAATAAGCCAAAATCCCTTCCCACCCATCTCCTGCTCCTGGACACCAGAGACAGACTGTTGGGGTTATGGGGTCAGGAACTACTCTGTGCTCACCATCCATCTCTGATTGCCCCACAGGTGAGCCTGGATGCATCCAGGGCTCTGCTACTTCCCCTGCCTGCATGCCTAGGATAAGGGTACACTGCCTCTCATTTGCTGCCCACCTGCCTGTGGGGGAATCATTCCAGACCTGCCACAGCCACAGCCTAAGCTCCCAGTCTTAAAATATGTTGCTTAAATGCCCTGGCACAACACAGATGGTGACAGCTAGTTTACCAGAGCTATTAGCCAACCAGGGCAAACTGTGTACCAGGAGTTATAGAAATCTGGGAATGGCAGGGACAGATTTTAACAGTACTGCCTCAGAGACAGATACTTCCCTACCACAGACAGAAAGGTGAAAATTGAGTTTTCTAATGCTATAGGTCAGGGTGGATTATATAAAAGCTAGCAAAGGCAGACAGAGCCTCGTCCTCTTACCTGCCCAACCACAGGATGTCCTGGGAGCACAGCACAGCTGCAAGAGCAGTTTGTGCAGCCAACAAGCCATAGGAGAGCACATTTCATTTCAGTGCCTGGATGAATAACGTGCTTTGTAAAGTGTTGAGCTTCTACCAGCTCCACAGTGAGCCATCAGCTCTGTAATAATATGGCCATTTCCTTAAGAGCTGAGTGTTAGGGATCTTTAATACATCTTGGCCATAGTTGTTAATACAAACCCATGAAATATGCAGCACGTGAAAAGTACCCACATCAACACTGCTATAGGAAAGGAAAGAATACAGGGATGCCTGACCCTGACCATATGAGCTCCTCAGTTTAGAGCTGAAGGCAGGAATGTAAGTCTGGTTACACAAGGAAATGACACAAATCCACAATTTGGTGCTCTATCCCTCCTGGTTCTGTCAGCTCACTTTGTTAACTAGTTTTCTGAACTACAGGTGATGTTGCCAAAGCAGGATCACCAAGGGATCAGATTTTAATGGATTTTTCCCTACCATAATAACTATTACAACTAATGATTTGGACCCATAGGGATTAAATAAATGACAAATGTATGTACTTATTCCAAAACAAACTAAATTTTTAATGGAGTACAGTTGGCAGGCAAACCACAGCTGGGAGGAATGGGCCTGGGAAGCCAACTGCATTGCCCACACTAATGGGAAGCAACAGGAGCAGTTATAGGAAATACTTTGCAATATTTAATGGTATGTGGTAAAGTGCTTCTAGCATGACACGTAAAAGCATGGACATCTGAACTATTACCAAGGCTGTAGGCAAGGGGACAACGGATTTATTTTCAAACCATTTACTGTCTACTAATGAATGTAATGGACTTAGAGTAGCAAAGAAAATGGAACAGATCTCTTACAAAACCATGCAATCTTGCTAGGATGTTGCTACCACTGAGGGATGATGACCAAACTGCCTTTCCCATTATTATTTTGGAGTAGGAAATCCTGCTGTGTCCATGCTACATGGGAGAGACTGTTACCATGGAAAGGGCTGTGAACAGCTGTTGTTGAAACATTCCTTTCCAAGCTTTGCTTCTTCTCATCATGCAGCATGAACTTTTAGTACTGACTCCTGGCTACTGCTGGATTTGCTCGATGCTCTGCAAGTTGTCTGCATTTTTCTGATCTTGATGCCCAATTTAGGACAACTTTCACTTAAAATCTGCACTGTTATCTGCTGAAATCCAGCTTTCTTGCTTTTGAAGTGAGGAAGTCAACTTCCTTTATCCATTAGCTATAGTCAAACATTGGTTCTGAAGAGACCAGCTTGCTCTTCACCTTTCCTTTTTCACACATCATAACCTGAAAATTGAACCCCAGTAGGAAACTTGTCATGAAATGTCTCTGGCCAAACCACCTTTCTTGATGGATTCCTCGATGGTTAGACAATCCTCATGTATCTTCTTGGAAGGAAGGGGAGCAGTCTGGTTCACTGGTATTTTGTCCAAATACTTCAAGTGAGGGATGAGTTTTTTTACTTCCTCTCTGTAATTATAATCTGGTTCCTGGAGAAATTGAGAAAGTGGTCAGTTTATTTACCAGCCTGTGGAATTCCACCAGCACCATGGCACTGTTCAATGTGTATGATTGTCACATAACTTGAAACACATTCTATGAGGCAAACTTATTCACCTAATCCAACAGAAATAAATACAGGCAGAAGTTTCATTTCACTGTGCTTTCTCCTCACATAATTTCTACTTGAATTGATCATGAGCATGTCCTGAGCAGTGCAAAGACATGATTTTCACCCAAAGGCTCCTCTTCTCTTTATCCACTGATTTAGGCATTCATCTTTGTTGTATTATGTGGAAGTATGGCATAGAAGACCACTGATGGTCGTGGAAAGCTTGGACACCCTCACCATTCAGCTAGTCTAGCCCTAACCCTAACCCTAACCCTAACCCTAACCTTCTGCTTTTGTGACTCTCTGGTTGTTGCATCAATGCTCAGGTGATAGAGAGACTTGAAACATGTTATGAGTGTTGCTACACCTGCTGATGGGAAAAGAAAGGGCATTTCCATGGGTTGTGTTTTTAGGCACACCTATAAATGAGTTACAGCGAAGGAACTGCACTGATTTTTTGAGTTAGGGTTTGGTGTGTGATTTTACACACTGCTAGAAGTGAAGGCTTACTTCAAACTACATTTTTTTCTGCAAGAGGTAGGATGGAACAGCAAGTGCACAGAAAGCTAAAATGGACTGCACTTGGGATTTTTTTCTGTGTGCTAGAAAAACAATGCAATTGCTCCCAGTGCACAAGACACAGTGTGACAGACACGGGGAAGCCCCAGTCTAGCCCCCTCTGCCTGCGTGGGTGGAGCTGACATGTTATAAAATGAGTCATGAGCACATGCCAATGCCTGGGGACCTCTGAGCAGCAAGGTCAATCCAGAGCAGTTACAGAAGTGCTCAGAGTACACTGCAAATTGAGCCGTTTTGGTGGATTTTGCAGTGCAAAGAAACCGTTCCCTGGCACCTGCATCTTTGGGAAAGCTTAGCAATCCCTCAAGCCTGACTGGGCCTTGCTTGCTGCAATGGGAATATGTTTGGTTAAAGCAGCCTGGGATTAATAAAGGCAGCAAATGGTGGTAGTGATCCCTTCTACTAAAAGCAAGTATAAAGCAAGAGTGCACTAGCAGTGGCAGAATACAAATGGACAGTGACCTACAAATCAATTGCTTCACCCAGGTAAATGTTACACTTCTCAAGGCATTGCATGCAATATTAGAGACCCCCCCCAAAGCCAAGTCCTTGTTCGATATGGAGTTGCCACAAAGAGGAACCTTGCTGTGGGATATGGTCCCTCCCTCTGTACGATGCTGCACTGACACTAGCAGAGGGAACTCACCAAATAAAACACGTTTGTTGCTGTTAAGAAGCAGACACTAATTTTCTCTAACTAAGCCTTTAATTTTAATTTAGAGAATGAGTCAACCATTCGCGACTACAGCCAATTTCCAGCCATGTCCTGTTGGAGAGGAGAATCATGTTATGCTCATGTTACATTACTGCAACAGAGGCTGCAGAATTTATCATCAGGTTGTTGCTCTTGGTTGAGCTAACAGGGGAAGATGAGCTCATCTGAAAATCAAATTACAGGGAGCAAACAGGCCATCTGAAGAAAGAGCAGTAAATTTAGCTGGACTATCCTGGAGATTAAAAGTAAATAAATAGGAGAGCTTTTACAGCAAGGGCCAGACTACACGGAGCTTGAGGAATTAAAACTGGCCATCTAGGGCACACATTTAGTAAGCCCACATCTACTCTTTTCTATATTTCAAGTGGCTTTTCTGTAGTCAGAAAATGCAAACACCAGCTGAAAACAGGAAAGCCACAAAGTCCAGGCAGAAGCTTTTGGCAGTCAAGGGCAGGACCAACTTTGTAGCCACCTGAGATCCCAACAGAGACGCTGGGTTGATGACTACAGTGAACCTAGAGGATCCTTCTGCTACAATTCAAATTCTGCTTGACATATGAATGCAACTACTTGCATGGGAATGGAGACAGCCATTCACCATGGAGAAGAGCAGTAGGGCACACCACCACACACCACTCCTCTTTGCACTTCTGTTATGTGCCAACATGCAGCAGCATCCCAAGGACAGATTTCCTCAGCTAAACAAACCAACAGCAATCTGACATTTCTCCATTACAAGTACGCTTAAGGGCTGGAGATGTCAAACAAAAGCCACTTCCTCCAAAATCACCACTTTCATTGAGCAG